CAAAAATACTAAGTTTCCAACGAATACTATCAACAAAATGTACTGGTAAGGGCAGTGAGTAATAGCTAGATTATGTAAATGCCATGTGTAATGAACGGATTGGTCACAGAAAAACGTCATACGGAAGTAATACTAGGAATTAGACGAGCTGATTCGGCAGTAATCGATGCCACGCCCATTCGCCGTTGCCACGCATTATCGCTGGTCCCGACGCGAATCTCATTGCGAGGTCCTCGAACGTTCACCTACCCTCAGTATTTGACAACATTTACTAGTAACAGTTTCCCGGTTCGATCTTATTCGAACCTAGGCATTTGCACAATGTCTTGTACTGCTTAGCCAGGCAGGTTTGTTGTAGTAGAACTGCTTAATTTGGACAACGCTTCGGCCCTCCCCCACCCTCTTTCACGCCACTCGGGAAACACTGATTAGAAGAAAATCAGGGACGATTTAGGCATGAAATCGGAGCTAGGAAGATATGGAAGCGTAATTTATACGCACTCGAAGTCCAAAGCTGATCAAATGAACTGAGTGGGTCGACATTCGCGTCGGGACAAGCGATAATGCGTGACAACACGGTAATCATAAGTGAATTCTTGCCGTTTTTTTGGGGATTTTGAGGTTACAGCATCCTAAGGCTTTCAGGAGTGTATCAATCGTCCCATGTTGTTCTTATATCTGAGCGCTGGGGAACCAAAAGTTAGGCATTTCGTTGGGATCTTCTGTGTTCAGGTTCCTGGGAGATGTTGAGTTGGCCTCGTTTGGGCGGTTGACCGGATAAGCCACTGATTAAAAGCTTCGAACCACTTTCAGTCCCTTGACGACGACTGTCCGTTCGAAACATCAACCAAATGAGGGGATTTTACAAGTTTTTCTTCGTTACTGCAATATCAGCTTATGTAAACTGCTTAAACCTATCCGTATGACCCGTCGCCATGAGGACTACGCCATACCTCCACCCCGGATTGTGGAGTCATTGGCAGAGATGACAAGGGTCTGCTCTGCCTTATCGTGTATCTACTTGTCTGCCTTTACGTATCAGTCTGCCTCACTGACAGTTTGTCTATCCGTCCTTCAGTCTATGAGTTAGTTCGTTTACTAGCCGTTCGTCAGTTTATCCGTTTGTCTGTCTGTCTGTCTGTCGTCTGTCTGTCTGTCTGTCTGTCTGTCTATCCGTCTGTCTGTCTCTCTATCCGTACTTTTATCTGTTCATCTATCTATCTTCCTGGCTGTCTACTGCTGTTTGTCTGTATGTATGCATGACTGTCTGTGTGTCCGCCCTTATCTGTCTTATCTGCCTCTGTTGGTCTGTCTGTCTGTCTGTCTGTTTGTCTGTCTGTGTGTCTGTCTGTCTGTGTGTCTGTCTGTCTGTCTGTCTGTCTGTCTGTCTGTCTGTTTGTCTCTCAGTCAGTCTTTCTGTCAGTCAGTCATTCAGTCAGTCAGTCAGTCTGTCTGTCTGTCTGCCTGTCTGTCTGTCTGTCTGTCTGTCTGTCTTTCTGTCTGTCTATCTGTCTGTCTGTCAGTCAGTCAGTCAGTCAGTCCGTCTGTCTGCCCGTCTCTCTTTCTGCCTTTCTGCCTGTCTGCCGAGAGTGGCCCAGTTGGTGGAGGAAAGTGGCAGAAGTTGGTAGAGTTGGTAAAAGGACACTGTGAGACCTTGTTCAATTTTGGTTTTCCACCATAAACAGTAATTTCTTGAAGAGCCCATTCTAAGCGGTATAAGCAATATTTACCAACTGCCTTTCTGATATTGTATCAGGACTACAATCCAACTTTGGCTACTACTTACTCATTTGTTAAAAGAACTCTTGCTGCCAGCAAAGTCGAAACTATAAACGCGATATGCTGTTTAGCCAAGTTAGGATACACTCACAATGGTGTCCACTCGAACAATGAAGAAAATGACCTGAAGTTACCAGTTCCCAATGGTCAAGCTAGTTCGTTCTGCTTATGTTGCCAGTAACCTCCCCCCTGCGCCATCAGAGCCATCTAGTATGACGGCACAATGAATGCCACATTACTCACCAGTAATTTACTCTCACCTTTCGCCAATAGTGTAATACAAGGACGTTTGTCAAATGCAGTAACATATGAGCGGTTTACTAGTACCTTGTGAAGTAAGGTCATAACTAGAGAATAAAAGATTTTATTGTATTTCTGTAAAATTTTTAAAACATCAAATGCAACACCGAAGCAAAAAAGTCGGTTCGATTCTACCGTGAACATGGGGATCATGAAAACACATACTAACTAGTAAGGATTTCTTCAAGAAAATGTAAACAGTAAATAAAGACTTATGATCGATCGATAAATTCTATGCACTATGTATATTATGAATGAAACCTGTGTACATAACAGCAATGAGCGAATTTTAGTTACAGTATCTAATATAGTAAACTAATGGGGGAATATACAGTACACATTGTTAATTCGTAAGTGAAATCACTCTACTTATATCTAGTATTTTGACAGAAAAAGTACAGTATCAATTACAGTTTGCTTTTCGTTCTAACAAAATCTTGAAACTAAATAGTTTCCAAGTATAACTCGTTTGAAAAACCTCTGAGCTTCTTTTTTCCCTTTCTGCAAATTTACGTCGTTCACACAGCAACAGCAGTTGCATCCTCGACTTGACTGTTGACTTCTATTCTGATTTGGGCACATAAACTCCACCACCACGAGCGTTCGTTACTGATAAAGAACTTGTAAAGGCCATCCTAAACAAGGCAGTCAGTGGTAATTGTACTATCCAGTGACAACAAGTTAAGTTGAATCGCAAGGTAGAACTATTTCCTCTGTTCTAGCGGAGTGTCATAATAACACAATATGAATGGTTAAGATCAAGTAAAACCACTTGAATTTGTAATTGAATTCAAAGGCTGTACGAGTTGTCCGGAAGCAGAGGCGAGATCGCTGGCAAAGGACCACAGCGAGGGGAGAACCCTAACGGCCAAGTCGCAATGGCCAGACCTTTCACGAGAGCCTCTGAACGGGAATAATAGTGTGCCTGTGCCCCTCGAGTGACAGCGATGCTTTGGACTACCCGGCTCGCGACAGGGACGAATGGAGGCGTTACTGGCACCCGTTCGAACAAATCGATGATCAACGGGGCGATAGATGATACAGGAGAATGACCGAAGGGTATGACGGAGAATAAAGAAACATCATTCCGAGGTACCCTGCTTGACGGAAATTTCTTAGGGCTTACCTCCGTGATTTCCAAGCTTTCATCTATCGGTGTGAGTGTTGGTCCGGGCATCCACAGAAATGCTGGTACCATTTGATCCATTCTGAAATCACTCATTATGTGGTCATCCGCATTACTTTTTACCTTATTTTATGTCTAACAAGAAATTATTACTCACATTGCGTAGTCGTCCTCGTCTTCGTAGCGAGCTCGGAAGAAACCAAATCCGAAATTCCGATTTCCGGCCACCCACCATGATACCATATCTCCTTGTTGAAGATGTAAGGTGATCCAGTGATGTTTCCCAGCGGGAACATCAATCACCTGCACATTTTCTGGTACCTGAAGCACAACAAATTCACTGATGAAGTCTTTCACAGTTCTGTTAGAGTCATAATTTTGTATTCGACGCATGGAACATAGAGAGGTTTGCTGGTCCTCACTTTCTTCTATATGCTGAAAGACACAGTTCACGATAGAAAAGATTTCTGAGATTCGCCCCCAGGACGAATCTGTGGATCCCGAAGACAATACACGGGACATTGTTGGGCCGAGAAACGGTCTATACAGAGCTCAGGGTGGGTCCAAAACCCATCTGGTTGACGTACACACTTAAAAGTAGCCGTGTTACAGGGTGCTGCACCATTTACAATGAAGCGTTAGGACGCTGGCAAATAGTACAGCTACCCAGACGGTTACAGACGACGACGCATTTCTATGGAACACAGTCATGCATCCTCTTTTCCGTTCACGAAGGAACAGCGTCTTTGTATATAAAACATGCAAACTATGTCGTCAGTACAGGGTGCGTCATCAATATGGTAACAAAAGCATTGGGCTACAAAAACCGCACTTCATATTGATACATGATGAATTCATCTGAGTTATTTACTATGCATCACATCTATGTACAAAATGAAAACACGATCAGCTTATATAACCGTCTCCTGTACTAATTATAGCTCAAAGATGCTTCGGCTACTCATCGACGCGGCACGTAGAAATTCTTGAGAAACTCCAGCCTGGGATTTTTTCAATGGTTCCCTATGAGCAGCAACAGTGGTGCGTTATGAAGCGCAGGCACTACTCTCCAGTATGAACTACATCCAGCAATCCATCACATTGTGGTCCGGGAAATCCTTAGGATTGGAAGCTGGAATAAAGACGCGAACATTCCCTCAGCACTAGTCTTAACTCTTCCCATTTGTGAGCAGATGCGCCGCAGTTTTCAAATCGTATCCCCAAAAAATCTTTGACTTTCAGCTGTATCTTTTCAGAAAAACCCTTCATAAAGAGTTTTAGTTGAATTTTGTACTTTTTTTCAATCAAAATTTGCGACATCGCTCTGATGGTAGAGTTTTTAGCAAAAACTATTATCAAAGAGGGATAATGGCTACAAGAGGCGATCTGACTCCTCTCAGCGGCTTCAGCACTCGAAACGTAAAATATAGGTAAACTTTGGGGTCTCAACATTTCTTCCACGCTGAACACCCTTTAGTCAAGAAAAGGTTTGTCAAAGCGCGTGCCGCGCGCAAGTAGAGCACGGCATTTGTTTTTCCTCTCCAACTTCTTCTCTTCAAGAAGCTTATAGGGCTCTCGAATCTTATCTTTATACATGAGTATTCACTAGGGGTAGACCCTTTTCATCGGAGTAGAACATATAAACAAATCAGCAGTCATTATCCTTTGGCTCTCCACGATTGATACTTGGTGGATACTCGAACGTAGTGACGCTGAGAACTACCACTCGGACCCGCGCCATTGGTGGTTTACTATTAGTTCTTTGACAATCGTCCCAAAGGATAACAGACCCGCGTGCGAGTCCGGACACTATGAAGAACTCAGCTGAGCTCAGCGTTCTCGCCTTCATTATGGAATGTACCTTCAGAGACTAGGAACCCCTACAAATTCAGTCAGTGGTCGACTGTTCGGGAACAAGGGAGGGTAGAGGGGGTGTGATGTGGTTACAGTAGCGCGCGGCGATTCTTAGCCAGTTGTCCCGCCGCGTGACAGGTTGTCGACAAACTCGCTGTTATACGAAGGGCAAGAACTTCACAAAAGTGAGCCCAGAAGTGAACTTCGACATTTAAAGCCCTGGTTTTTCAAAATGACAAATCAGCAGTTAATTTTTCATGAATTTATGCCTCAAACAGAGGGAACTTCGACATTTAAAGCCCTGGTTTTTCAAAATGACAAATCAGCAGTTAATTTTTCATGAATTTATGCCTCAAACAGAGGGGAAAAAATTAGGAAAAAATCTAGATAACGATAAAAACCAATGAATATGTCAAACCTTTAGACCTTTAGAGGAGTAATACCAATCCTTCAAGAATGGTTGAGGCTGGTCGACGTATGCTGGGAACACATGGGTGTCATCGTTCCAAATTGAAGGAAGTGATTCTTTTTTCGAAAACTGTAGAATCTCATCTTTCCAATTTGAACCAAGAATACGAACCTGAAGACAATTCATCGATAATTCGGTGAACGCAGTATACCAGTATACGTCAGTGGCCAACTGTTCTTACCTTGTTTTTTGTCCTCTCAGGTAGTAATGGACGAACGACAGTCCATAATGCGACGGCAAATGATGGTATGTTAACTGGCACAAAGAACTGAAAGCGAAATCGGTCAGATTCTGATTTTTCAGAAGCGAAGTCCAACGACGAAATTACCTTGATCATTTCCACATAGTGCTCTGCCATGAACTCAGCTAGAGACTTCATTGAACCCGTGACCAGATCGTAGAGTTTTTTGTTATATTCGAGACCCGTGACGTCCATCACGTACAGAATCCATGCTTGCTTTCCTAGAATTGATTATGCATAGAGTCAATACTTGTTCAGTTACATGGTTCGATGTTTTACAAAGCCCCAGATTACACCACAGGACGGGTGTGGTGACTTGTCCCCGAAAATCGCGTACGCGATAGCGCGCAGTCGCGCGGGAATCGAACGCTAGGCATGGGAGAGAGACTGAGACCTACTGGAGGTGTGAAGCAGTGATCCCGATCAGCTTACATTGTAATTTGTGATTAGTTGACTCGCAACACATCATGCTTATTGATTGAATCAGATTGTTGTCTCGCGGTACGATATACCCTTCTCAACTGCGGCTTTTACCGCGACTAGCTCCGCCCAAATTTCCCATTGGTGCGTGGCCTGCGCGGTCTAATGAAAGCGCTGTCGTCCTAATAATGATCCAATCAAAGGTATGCGCTCTATGCAAGTCTCAGCCATACAAAACTCTTGATTTTTCTGTAAATGGCGAACATTAAGTATTACAATCAAATAATTTCGTCAATAGCACTGAAGCGTAAGGGACGGAATATCAAGAAAATACTGTAGTTGAGCCGATAAAAAGGTATATAGGTGTACCTGTCCGTTTTTCAAGTTCCATACAATGTGCAAGCATATCTTCCAGGTCGTATACTCGAGCTTTCATCACTTCTGATATCGAGAAACACTCCATCATACCGGTATAGTCAGTTCGACCACACTATAATGGACTCAATTGAGGCACGCCATCCCCATTGTCAATAGCTAAGCAATGAGGCACACACGGACGAGAAACAGGATTTCTCGTGACCTCCCGCTCTTAACTACTTCGTAACTGCGCTTCATTATACCTGTTCAATGTTGATGATGACATTTTCCAGGACTCCGGACTCTCCAGTAATGCCATACCGCCAGTGATTATGGATCGGATGCGTTCTGTCCTGCTTGTGCATGTTATCTAGGTCCCATGTGGATTTCCTGAAGAAAAAAAAGTCAAGAAATTCCAGTATTCACCACGAAAAACCTGAATATCAAGACTAGCTGCTTAATACAGCCATACTCAGACAAAATTAATCAACAGCACAGTAACGAAAATCGGAAATCGGAAGGAAAAAGGTGACGTTATAAGAAAGGTCAGGGCCATATATCGGAAAACTCTCCCTCCTTTCATATCTCAATATGCAACATATGACTCTGTCCCTTCAGTAATATACAATTTTCCACAAAAAGTTTTCAAGGACAGGTCTTAGCCTTTTTTTGGTTTCATTCCATTCCGAAACTTACAGTTTGCGCTATTGTACCTGGCGCAAGCGACAATCCCCCTGAATTATCGATTTTCTTCATAAGTAAGATTGTCCTTGGAGTCGGTCATAGAAAAGTGCAATTCTGTTAACGTTGTGGTGTTTTTATACTAGAAAAAACCAGGCGGAACATGATGATCCATGTCTGAACCCGCTGCCAGTCAACTTAGAAAGGGGGACTCAGCACGACGGATTATCAAAGTTCTGCCAAAATCGCCCAAAAAACAACAAAATTTGACAATTATTTGGGAAATGGGAAAACTAATCCCGAGGTGCGGGTTAGAGTTTTTGCTGAACGCCTCAGAGAAGGTTTTCTAAAATAGCTTGTTTACAATGATAAGCCATAGAATGGAAACGCGACTCGTAAACCGCCCGACCCGGAAAACGGAAGAGATCGGAATCGGAACACTAATAGAGTCAGAGGATGAAAAGAAAATAAAGCAGTAAAGTAGAGAGTAAAGTGTCAGGATAGCTTAGGTTGGAATTAGTAATTTATTTCCCAAGTAAGTGCCATTATCCTACCAAAGTCTCAAGCGTGGGAGTGTCACCGAAGTATGAGATTGAATCAAAAAAAAAAAACTTCATTTGTTAAAATAAACATTTCAAATACATTCCTGACTTTATTACTAACTCAACCTTACCAGTTTTAGGAGAAGATGAGTAATGACGTAAGCCCTTCAACAATACCGTGTCATTTAAAAAGTATCCACGTGATTGTTAACACTTAAAAGTTGTTCTGAGCACAGAGGTCTAAAACCTACCTTGCTTTCAAGTGATGCCGTAGTTTTCTGGCAACATCTGGGATTGAAAGTTGAGCATGACCTTGAAGCCATCTGAGAAGGTTGAAGTCTGTATCATAATATTCAGTGAGGTCATCCTTGACCAGTTTTCTTAGCTCAGCAATTTTCTGCCGTTCATCTTGCGATATCCCGTTAGAGATTGTCATTAAGGGGATCTGAAACTGGGAAAAAATTTAAAAATGGAAACAAAACGAAGTGAAAGGCGTTTGGAACTCGCAGAACGAGGCGGTCGCACTTTGGTGCAGAAAGGATCGACAAATGAGGTCGGCGAACTGACCGGAAATCGCAAATTGGCACACAACTGGGTTCAGGAGCCAATAAAACTCTCATAAACAAATAAATAAAGCAAATGCGAGGAAATCTGAAGTCAGAAATCCAGGAAAGGAGTTGAAGATTGTCGCCTTAGTCCCTTTGGTCCCACAAGGGCAGGGAGGTTCTGGGTGTTGGCAGGGGTGCCCGAGCCTGTCAGGGCGAGAGAGCGCCTTGGCGCAAATGTGCCTCCCGATTACTTTTCCGCATACGTACGTGTTTAGACAGAAAACCGGTAACGGCTAACTCGTCTCTCGGGTTTTCCAACAATTAGTTGTGGGCCGACACCTTAAAGATTACAAGTTTCAAAGCTATGATAAACAAAAGCGATTTTGAGTAGTGATAAGTAAAGGGCAGAATGTTATCAAACAGGAATACCAGTAATGATGATCGTGGAAGTAAGAAGGATCATCATGTGTTCAGGGCCATTTACGGAACGTCATCGGAATTGATTGATAAGACGATTGTACGGTTGTGGCGGTGATGGTGTCGACGGCGACGGCGGGCTGAGGAACGAGGAGGGATAGGACGACGGCGACGGCGCGATTTCCGTCGAGGGTTAATTGCCGTATTGTCAATGTACCGGGATAAATCCCAGTTGACTGCTGCTGCTGCTGACCACCAACAGTCATTAGTTGAGGCTCCCGAGCGGTCATCGTTTTACTGCTGGAAACTGGATTAATGCGGAATTAACACTGACGGTAGCAGCAACAGCAGCAGCAGCAGTCAACAAACAACTACACCCCGACATCATTCATCCACCTCCTTTTGTCTACTACGACTATCCCCCGTCGGCATCACATATACTCCCGTATAGTTAAGGATACTTAAGAGTAACGACTTATCCCTCCATGACATACACCACAAACTCGTTTCTATTGACACTAAGTGAAATCATCGGAAGTTTTGAGCTCCATGGCCGACTAGTGTTGCTTGAACTACTAATGCCAATCCGAAGTGGACCTAACGACCCATGTGCTCAGCCGTTCCCTCAGAAATAAGTGAATGAGCACCATCCACGGGAATGGAGAGAAGGAAATCAATCAGAACTGGCCTGAACAAGTTTCGAAGTAAGGAAGTTGAATTAGTTGTTTTTTAATGTAGGTTACAACAAGGAATTTCCAAAGCAGTAAAGTAGTTTCCGCTTTGTACGTACGCTTGGATGGAAACCAAACAACTGCATTATCATCCATTTGTATTCACCAGTTAAGGGAGTCGGATTGGCTCACCGCACCTCAAATTAAACGCTTATATTATTATTTAATTTTATTACCCTATTTTATTACTCTATTCATTAATATTTCTTATACTACTTTATCGACATTAATCATCGTAAAAATTTCACGTTTGTTAACTGTATCACTGATATTTACGTATCGTTACGCGTTATCCAACACTATCAATATTTACCACGACTCATACAATGTTCCAACCATCAAGGGCCGAACCTCGTGGAAATCTGATATTTGGGCTCTGGATTTTAGTGGTACCGGCCATCGTCAACTCATTGGAATAGGTTTTTAAATTGATTCCAGCTTCTTGGAGGCAGGAGAACTGTACAGGCATGTAGATGAAGTAAGGGATGATCCAGCAAAATAGTAATTGTATCAAAGCAGCTAAGTAGTAGGCTGATAAGAAGGAAATAGATGGAAAGGCTCGGTAGCTTCCTCAACTACAAACAGGGCCCAAGGCTCGAAGCTCCATCAGCTCTGGGGTTACCTATCCAAGGTTCACCAGATGAGAATACTCTCACCGCAATCAGATCCTCTGAGGAGCCAAGTTTCATGCAGCCTCACAATACTAGGGAAGATGTGGGGAATGAAAAGTTGGTTACCATTTCGAATCTATTATAAATATAGACTTGTTTTCAATTCTCCATTGTAGGGTCAAACGAGCTTGAGAGATGAAATCAGAGCGATTGACGTAATTCTACATGTTGAAAACAATTCTATTACTCTCATGACGAGATTTAGAAACGAAAGAAAAAAAGGACGGCATCACTGAAAACACCCTTCAACAACACTAAATGTTTCTACTCCCATTTCTACAGTCTTATATGTTCCCAGATCCCAAGTTAAGATATTATCTACGGGTTACCGGTATCATCTATGCAGTCAACAAACAAGCCCAACTTCATTATGTGATGTTTTCATGGCAACTTCTGACAGCGTTTACAATAAGATCTTGAATAATAACAGTAATACGAAATTACTGGTAATAGAAGAATAAAAGCGGAAGTAGTTACACTGTATCGGACCAGAAATCAAATTAAAGAAAATGACTCAAAATTCTGGAGCTACTTACTTGTTCGGTCAAAGTAGTTTTTGCCGTGTTACGGTAATGTCTTAATCTGATTCCCTGCTTCATACTATACCACACTCTTAAGTCTGCTTTGCTCCACTCTTGACTGCTACGGGAATGAGCTTACTTCGAACAGAATACGCCCATTGTGTAAGAGCTATTGTATGAAAAAACTACTAGTTCAGAGAAGTAAGTAGTAAGTGCGTACAATTCTGGAAATTTCAAAAAACTGGCTCATTCGACCACTGGTTCAAAAAAGTTATGACCTTTCATCGGAATTCCTACTCCAAGCCAGTACTCATGAAATGATTATTTGTAAAAAACAAATTTTGAGTGACAAGTGACCATTGCAGGGCGTAAACAATGAATAAGGTCCAAATCAAAGACACAGGTAACAATCAGATTGGTCCCAGCGATAAGAAACTGAGGAAAAGACGATATGTGGTGTATTCACAGAAAGAACTGCTCAGAGAAGGAGCCCAAACAATAAGGGTCCATCTCCTTTCGTTGGAAAAACGAAACCTTGGGCCCTTAATGACATTTCCAAACAATTTGTTCACTGCAACTACTTCCTTTCCATCCATGGGTAGTGGCTATGCTCAAACGCCGGAAACACTTATTCAGGACTTCATGGGATAGAAGACGAATGGTTCACTAAGGGAGTCCGCACCACTCCTTCAGTTACCAGTCGCTAATCGCCACCTCGTCTGGCAATAAGTAAGGCTCCGGAGCACAATCGGCTACCGCCTGTCAACAAGATCATACCTCGACGAAGTGGGATCATGGAGGGGCGGAATCCCCGCTTTCAGATCCCAATTTGCCTGGGCTATGCTTGTTTATAGCACTGCCTGTCCTGAGCACATCGTAGCATTCGCCGGGATAGAAGTTGGAAAATGAATATACCCCATAAAGGCAAGCCCCTCCTTTACAACCACGAAGACCAAGTAATTCTTCAAATGGGGTCCCAAGAATTCGGTAATGAGAGTAGAAGAAGTCGCCGACTGATGAAGTAAGGTGCACTCCTGAATGAACTTGTTTCGAATAGTTCTATGAATAACTTTCCTTCAAGTCTAGATACGACATTACCTTTGAAAACCTGTTAATATATTCAATGATTGGTCTCTGTCGACCATCGAGAAAGGATTTCTCCAATTCTTTCGAAATTCTCAGTTTAAACTAGCTACTCGTGCATACGTGCGATTACAACCCCGTTCTATTGCCTGTCCCAATTATTTTCATTGACCAGTACGAAAATGTTTGAACCCCGATGACTTTCATTGTTTGGAGAAGGATTCAAAGTGGTAGGTGACCCTACCTCACACCTCAGTCCTTGAACTTATGGCTGGGTGTAGGCGGATGGATGTCCACTGGCTCTCTATCAAGTCCCTGGGAAGATATCTTTAGCAGCAGACTCTCTTCACTTTGGGGCTTCTTTAAAGCGGCTTCGGAAGGTAGTAGGAAGAATTTCGAGCTTAGGGTGCCGACAAATAGCTCCAGCCGATTACAGGTCAGCTTCATCGCTTCTAATTTGCTCCCCTTTAGAATGTTCTTCTTGCAATTTGGAACCACAAATACATCTTCGACTTACAGGCTCCGGAGAAGGCGAATCAGCCTAAACGTAAGCTGATTTTGATAATCTCGGGGGCTAAGACAACAAAAGACGAAGTAGGTGTCGATCAAAAGGGATCTACTGACTATGTCATGCGTGGGAGGCACGGATAAATGAACACGGTCCCAGCGTTCAATCGAGAAAATTTGAAGACCAGAGAGACAAAATGAAAGATAACTGGGGAAAGTCACTGATTTCTGAACGGTCATAATTGATTACCAGTTAGAGATTCAGTAGTGCAGTCTCAGTAGTGTGATCGAGAGAGAGAGCATTGAACAATTAGGGGGTTTTTAAGAAGTGTAAGAATACGATTGCGTCACAATCGAATATTAATCCCAATCACCCGTCGAGAACTTATGAAAAGTGTCCTTGACGACACCAAGTGGAACTGTCACTGCGAACTGTTGATGCAGTGAACTTCTTAAAACGTCGTTGTACAAAGTGTAACTCATTCTTTGAATAGTAATCCCTCACATGTCGCATTAATTTGGAAAAGAATAGCAATGGAGCTTCAAACACTAAACGATGAACAAAATAGAGAGATAGAATAGCAGGGCATTCACAAAAAAAGTGACACTGATCCATAACCAACGTACGAGGCTATTGGTGGATTCACCTCATCAGCCAATCAGGAACAGCTCAGGCACCCATGGTGTACTCCCAATGCGGGACAACTAGCAAAGAAACTCAGTGAACGAGGTTTTTCACCGGAATGAGCCCTTCTTCCATCATGAACGTATCTCGATGAGAAAATTCTTTTCTGAAAATCTCTGAAGGGGCTATTCGGTTGCACTAACTTTTTCAATTTTTTCTCAGATTTCATTCAAATATCAGGCTGGAAAAAGAAATTTTAGGCTGGAAAGTGTAGAATCAGGCAGGAACATTACATCAAACATGGGTCGGAAATGTCAAGCCTCAATGTCAGTCCTAATTGGTCAATAGTCGGACTACAGCAACGTGACCCTACTATTGGCTGGTTTCACTTGCAGTTTGACAACCAACCAATAAGGAGCGGGGACTGATTGATAGCTTCAGCTCTGCCATATTTACAACTCACTCAGCGTACATACTACCTTGACAGGAATCTGAGTGTGAGGCTACAATCGCCCGGCCAGAGCATTCAACAGGAGATCAGAGAAGTTCAACTGAAGAAAGGATTCGTTGAGAGATTAAAGTTGAATTAGGAACTCACAGACACAGACCGACTTTGTTTGTGTGATGCAGAGAGACACTGGCACGGCCACTACAGAACATAGTGCCATTGAAAAACATCTTAAGAGTAATTCTTTCGAATAATAAATCCGGTTTTCTCATAAAACAAGAATTTTGAGTTTTATCTAGAGGAAAATCAGAATTTCCGTTGTTTTCAAGTGTTCACGGAGCTCAAAGGTCGCATTTGAGAGATAACTCAAACTTTCACAAGCGGAAGTTTGCTTTTTGTAAATATTCCTCAAAACCATAGTCACCCTCGAAGGAGATCCCCAGTATAGGCATCATGAGGTTCCTTTTCTCCGATTATGTACCTACTCTAGAGCAAAACCCACTCTTACGACCAGTCGAATCATTTTCCGAGTTCTTAAGTCGGAAGGCATACTAGCCTGTTTTCCGAAGGTTGTTCTGACCGTTAAGTAGTGTCGTAAAACTGCACTGACAAGTTTTTAACATGAGTAGGTGCTAAAATGCAATAAAAGAAACTCTGTGTGAGAGAAATCCTTTTTTCTTTGAAAGATCAATGTATACCATTAT